AGTACACGGTCAAATATGAAGTGTGTGCTTTTTAGGTGAGAGATTTTAAGGGAAAAATGGCCTTAGGCCTAATAAGTGCCAAAATAGGTAGCTTAGTTTAGCGGTTGATAGAACTCAACTGTCATCAGCCTCTTAAATGTCAGATCGATACTGGGAGTAATTATTGACTGGCTCAGTTGAAAGAATTTATTTGCTTCCAGACACTTGCCTCTGACACCACATTTTCTAGAAGATAGATTGTTTTAAAAATCACCATAAACAAAGTTATGAAAACATAAACCATAAAGTTCTGAAAAATATGCCTTGTGTTTTCAATACTGAATACTAGTATTTTTCTGTGCCTACTAGGCTTCATTGTTAAATTCTCAAACACTAACAAACTTCTGTATCTTTCAGCTTTAGGTATAAAAAAAGATGTCAAGCTACTGCGCAGAAATACTGACTTGAATGGCTACTCATCAGCTGATTGTCATGAACCTTGACAAAACCAAGTTCCTTTTCATCACAGTCAAAGCCTCCCACACTGTCTCTCGAAGAGAAGGTCAAGTGATCATTGTATCCTGGTGTATGAAAAGATATTAAACTGACCTACACTGGTCACATAACATCAGCTGCCCGAACCTGCAGTTTCTTAAGGCAAAAGAAAGGTAAGCGCAGTGTATATTATTTATTTTATATTTCAAGCTTTTCTTATTTGTGACTTTTATTATTATATTTTTATAAATAATAGTGTTTGTTAGTGTTTCGTGGCTTTCCTCAAAACTTTGCATATTGCACATAAGCAATATAGCCACCAAACTGGATTTTGAAGACAAAAAAAGCCCAATAAGCTGCATCTTATTTACAGTACTTAAAAGTCACATCCTTATAGGCCAAGAGGAAGTCAAGAAAAGCGCTTACTTAGCTTCTGGAGCAGTCACTGGCAGGATGATACAAGCTTCATACATGGAATGTAATAGAAATATTTATTCTGCAAAAACTTGTCTTGCAGAATAGATAAGAAACCATTCTTGTTCAGAAGAGCAAAGCTACATCTTCTGCTGTCTTCTGTGATGCTTATATAGGAAATATTTATTACAAGATTTTCAAATCAGAGTACCAAAGTAGTTACTTTTTAATTTAGGGCAAGACAATACAGGCAAAACCATTGTTTTTTCATGCACTGTTCAGTTTTGAGATTTGAGGTTTTGGTGTCTTGCTTAATATACTTACTTGTTAGAGAAATACCAAGTTTCAAGTACAAACTAGATTAATACACAAGCTGGCCAGAAGTGTAATGCAGAAAAGTAGCAGATGTCAAACTGAACATTTTTAAATACAAATAAAGGGGCACTGCTCAAATGAACAATTCTAAACATAATTTCCCAGGTGGTGTTAGACTTTTGCCGCACCTGAAGAAACTTCACTGCCAAGCTGATAACTATTTAAAGCACAAAGAGTGCTGCTAAGAAAAGTCAAATGGTGATAATTACACCCCCCCCACAGACACACACCCACAAACATGACTCGATTTATTACATCAACAACAGTCCTCTGGGAGCAACGCTGCCATTGTCATGGCTACACAGCTAATTAGTGAATAAAGCTGTAGGTGCTTAATGTTGCTTGCTGGAGAGTAGCAATACACACTTAGATGGTTGTATGACTACATGCCAGCAAGTGTACAGTGGGGCAAAAAAGTATTTAGTCAGCCACCAATTGTGCAAGTTCTCCCACTTAAAAAGATGAGAGAGGCCTGTAATTTTCATCATAGGTATACCTCAACTATGAGAGACAAAATGAGAAAAAAAAATTCCAGAAAAATCACATTGTAGGATTTTTAAAGAATTTATTTGTAAATTATGGTGGAAAATAAGTATTTGGTCAATAACAAAATTTCATCTCAATACTTTGTTATATACCCTTTGTTGGCAATGACAGAGGTCAAACGTTTTCTGTAAGTCTTCACAAGGTTTTCACACACTGTTGCTGGTATTTTGGCCCATTCCTCCATGCAGATCTCCTCTAGAGCAGTAATGTTTTGGGGCTGTCGCTGGGCAACACGGATTTTCAACTCCCTCCAAAGATTTTCGTGTGTGTGTGTGTGTGTGTGTGTACTGTGCTGTGTACACACACACACACAGTATATAATCATATTTATATACACTGTAAACAGAAATGCAAGGGGGTAAAAATAATTTTTTTCTCAAAACACTGAGTTTTGATTTCTAAGTGAACAAATTATGTATTTTCACACATGATCACTGGGTGTAGGTCATCAGTAAATGATCATGGCATTTAAATTACAATGTTTCCCAAATTAAACAAAAGAGCTGTTAGTTTTGAATGACGTGTGTAATGTAGAGAACTGTGTTTAGGGTTTTGCAAAAAGTTTGTTATAGCAAATACCAAAATTGAATTTAAAGCTTGTAATGTGCTTGTAGTTTTGCAGACTTTGTCTAAAGATTAGATATATGACTGTTTCAATGAGTGGGCCTCAAGTACCACTTTTAGTGTCTAAGCAATTAAAAAAAAACATGTAATAATTATAATTATTAAAAATTATACACTACTACTACTAATTAATAGTCCTCAGCAACTGTGTTTATCATAAACTTTGTTTATGCTATTTAATTGAATTTGTTTGGTCATTAAATGATAAATGTGTTATTTAACTAATAAATTCTTATCAAATCAACTAAAGACATTTTGTTCAGAAAATTATCAATTAGTAATTCTAGAAATATGAATTTACAATCTTTTCATTTACATATAGCCTAACTGTCAATTTGGTTTCTGAAGGAGAAAATATCTTTTAAATCAAAGATATCTTGTGCGATAATTTTAAGAAGAGTCCAGAAGAGTCACAGCATGATTAAAGTTAGCAAATAACAAAACAATAATCCTGAAGCAGTAACTGCTAAGTAATTTACTTATGCTGCAATGCATGCTGGGAGCTTTTTACAAATTAGCAACATTCAATATGAAGTAGTTTTTTCAGACAGCTCTGTTTGGGAGTCGATGGTTGGTCTGACATATTTCGAAGAAGATTCTATGTAATTCAAAGATTAATTTAGTATCTGTGAAAAGCATTAAGCTGGATAAAATGTAATTGGTTTTATTTACAGTGCCCTGTTATGTGACCACACACAGCTGTGTGTTCTGACCAGTTGGTAGGGCCATTGGCTTTTTTTAGGGGTCTCTGTTGGTCAGGCCAGATTGAGGTTGCAGTGCGACTCAAAGCCTTTGTTCTGAGAAGATGAAACACTTCTTGAGCCAGGTGACGCTCAGAGCAGCATCTTTTTATCAATATTTTTTTTTCTCTCTTTTCAATTTGTTTTGAAGAGCTTTTGAATACTCTCACAAGGCTGAAGAATTTCTGAGTGAAAGCAGGATGACAGTGGAAAGCAAAGCAACAGAAATTGCTTCATCTCTACACAGGTTCACTCTTTCACTCTGACATATAGAAAATAAGTTGCTGGAAAATTGCTTAAAATTAGGGTCATGGGTATTACCATGAGTCTGATAGCTTCCTTTAGTTCTCTGTATCATGTGAGTGGCCATGTACAACCTTTTCAGTCTGTAATGAAAAAGTCATGTTGTATTATATTTCTGAGTCAAGGAATAAAAGAAACAGCACATCCTCTTAAGATATTTATTTTTTCGTACAAATTTGCAAATGTCTATAATAAAACATGTTTTTGACCGTACTCATAAGAGACAGACCGTGCCCAAAATAAATATTCATCATAGATTGTATGATTTATTGATATGCTGATGTTATTTGTTCACTTTTAAAATTGTATTTCCAAGCTGCCTATACAGTACATTTAATGATCATATCTTGTTGTTTCCTTGTTTGTTCAAGGATGCTGTGCTGCAGTATTCTATTCATGAATAGACCAGCAAACAATATAAACGTAATATCTCCATGCAATGATTATACAACATGATCAGTTTTACACAACAGGATCTAAGGATGAGATTTCAGCTACCGTCATAATGTCCAAATTCCTGTTTGTGGTATTCTGCATTTTACAATGAGAAACCCTGTGCCTATTCATGACGTAATGCAATCTGGTGTGAAGTAGGTTAGAAACAGGGAGGAGATGAGACATAAATCATTCTACCTCTGGAAGGAATGACCTCGTTGCCTGTTAACAATTACATTCAACCAGTATAAAATATCCTATTACATAACCTCAGAATACATCACCTCTAAATGTTGGCCTACTTCATGAAGACAAATGATTAAAATGATATTTATGAGAAAATCCAAAGGTGTTTGGTACACTTTTATGGTCAGAATCAGTCAGAATCAGTGACCTTAACCTGGATATGTCAATATTTCACACATTTTAGATATATGAATATAATATCTAATGATTTGTGTGTGATCTTTAACCCTAGAGTGCATTCAGAGGATTAGTCATTTGACTGAAATGATGTTTCTTGTGGTTTCTAATGCTTGACATTAGTTTTGTAGATAAATATGAATTAAGCATATGGACTGGAGAGTGAAGGAAAAGCAGACAAGAAGTGTCTCACGTGAATCCCAATTCAATAGGCTGCTATTAAAAGCATCCCAGGTGGCACCTCATGAGAGAATGCCAATAGTGTGCTTACTGTGAAATTCAGATGGATAATTTGTAGGGCTCGTTGGCGCAAATCCTCGATTTACGTTTGTAAAAAACGTGTTATAAGTCGAAGTGTTATGAAGTGAAAACAGTATTTATGCTTTGCCGATGTAACGATTAATACTGTAAGCTCTCGAGCGGCGTACTGTTGCCATGGATACCACCTTAGCGAACTGTCCGCAAACGTCTTTTTTTTCTCTTTTTTTTGTGGGAGGCAAAAATGCGATAGGCCTACTTTTTGGTTACTGAAAAGTAGTTTGATTTCCATTCTGATATGTAAAATTAAACCTGTTCCACGTACTTTGTAATACCACTAATAATTAGGTTTGGCTTCATTTGAGGAGGTAATAGCCTTGGTTAAAAAAAAAACCCAACCCCACTGAGTCATTCATTAATAACTTGGCCTGGGATTCCCTCGCACTCCATGAGTCCCGTGGAGGTGAATGGTGTGATAGTGTCCAGGGAAATCTCCCCGTCGCACTCAAACTGTCCGATGTTGGGTAAGAGCATGTTTTTGTGGTTGCGGGACACGTTCGAGGTAACCGAATGCTTATTGAACGGCAGACTGGGCTCCTCTCTAGGGATCGGCATCTGAACAGCCAGCGGTTGCGCTTCTTTCTGAAGCGTCGTGTCATGGTGATACGACACCAGCTCGTTACTGAAATTCACCGCCTCCACTGTGGTGCTGGGGAACATTTTATTGCAACCCAAAATTGAGGAGAACGCTTTCCTGAAGTCCGCGTTAAAGGCATAAATAACGGGATTGAGGGAGGAATTGGCCCAGCCGAACCACACGAAGATGGTGAAGGTAGTGTCACTCACGCACTGGCAGAAGGGCACCATGCAGTTGAGCACGAAAAACGGCAGCCAACAGAACACAAAGACCCCCATAATGATCGATAGTGTTTTTAAAACTTTGGTCTCTTTCTTGAAAGTGGTTTTCAGCGAGTTCTCGTTGGAGCAGTCGTTGGACTGGTGGTGGTTTTGCGCGTGCTCCGCTGCCCTCTCCAAAGAGGAGATCCTGCGGATCTGTGTTTGCGCAATACGGAATATCCTCGTGTACGTGGCGATCATGATGATCACGGGGATGTAGAAACTTATCAGCGAAGACGAGATGGCATACGTCCGGTTCAGGTTGGCTTTGCAGTTGTCGCTGTAGTCGGTGCCGTTACCCGCTGCGCCCTCCTCATTTTCCTCAGCCGCCATGTGCCAGTTGAGCTGGACCGGGATAAAAGAGATGAGGATGGACAGGGTCCACGCCACTCCGATCATCATGAAAGCCACCCGGTGGGTCATCTTGCGCTCGTATCGGAACGGGCTCGCTATGGCCCAGTAGCGGTCCACGCTGATGATGCACAGGTTGAGGATGGACGCGGTGGAGCACATGATGTCAAAGGCGATCCAGATGCCACAAAACCGGCCGAAGAGCCAAGTGCCCGCCACCGCGGATATCGCCTCCCATGGCATCACCAGGACGGCTACGAAGAGATCAGAAACGGCCAGAGAAATGACGAAAAAGTTGGTAACTTTGGAGCGGAGGTGCCTGAATTTGACCACGGCGGCACACACGAGCGTATTTCCTAACAGCGTGGAGACGATGAGAAGGAAGAGCACGAAACCCAGCAGAGCGCGCACGCTGTTCTGCCCGTCTCCATCCTCTCGCTCCTGCGCTCCGTGCGCGCGGTCCTGCGTGTGGTTTGTACCGTTTTCCATCTCTAAAAACATATCCGTTTGTATCGCATCTGACCAAATCGCTTCATAATGGCCAGTTACCTTGTTTTAGGATACGCTTTATGAGTGACCGGTGCGATATCCAGCTCTGTCCCATGTTGGCATGTTGGGAAAACTGCGTCCGTTCCCGGTGCTGAGCGCGTGGAATGACCCACATTCATGCGCTGGTGCGTCTCGCGCGAGAAGTTCTCGCTTTGTGATTGGTTTATGTCCACACCGCGGAGTCCGTGTGATCCACACCAGCATCCATTCCCTCCGAATGACTAACTATAGTTGCCAGTTAACCTGAAATCTAATTTCACCAAGTCTGCAGAAATTACATACAGAAAGCACGGTCTACAATAACATTTTACAAACGATAAGTAGCATAGCACATTTTGACAAATGGTAACAACTGACAGTGCAAACAGATATTGCAACAACAACAACAATATATGTAACAATTACACATTTAATAATTAAATATAATAATTTATGTTCAAGTTGCAAAGTTCTGCATGTCGTTGATTCCTAATGACCATAGAAGGATTCAGTAACATTAAGAATTCAACGACATTTTTAATGAAATTAATCTATGACATATCAGTTGTTGAAGTGAAGTTAAAAGGCATGACTGACTGATTGATTGACTGACAGATTGATTGATTGATTTGTTTTATGTTATTGTTGTTTTATGTTTGCCTAAAGATACAAATAATGCACCTTTAAATCGTCATTTAATATTTTTATTTTAGGAAAATATGTTAAATTATGACGTTATGAAATGTACCATTTTATGGTAACTCCCCAAATCATTTTTACATATAACTTATAGTGCAACATGATTGGCAGTAATGCAGTTAAGACTTTATAGGTCTTGTTTAAAGAAGTTGAAAAGTCTGAAAAGCTGCACTATTCTGTCATAGAGATGCATACAGTGTTTGTGAATGGCAGCTGCATACGTGTCAAGCTGCATTTTCTTCTAGTTTTGGTTTTAAGTTTCCCAGTCTATTCACTGAGGAACTCCTCTTTATTCAACTGTCAAACGTGTTACTGGATACTGCAATATTTTTTCTGCAGTAATGGTATAGTGCACTGAAATTGAATGATTGTTCAAAGTATTTAAAAAATACTCACAGGCACCCAGTGAGCACATCATTTGAAGAGTGTGGTTAATAATTAACTTTTCCCCCAAATGTGTTCTGTTACATCACTTAGACATTGAGAGAACTGAGCTCATTAATGTTAATGCAATGGCTAAGAATAATGCATCTTAATGAATAAAATCCAGCCTTCATGTTATACTCAGGAAATAACACAGCAGACATTTTTATTTTATGAATGCTAAGCCAGAAGTCTACATTCTCTAATTATATGAATTTAAGGTGAAATACATCCCTTTTGAACAAAAGAAAGCTTACACAAGAAGGTCTCTCATGGATTTTAAATAACAATGCACCATAGACGTGTGTCACATTACATTCCTTGAGTAAATTTAGGGGAACTACAGCAACATAAAATAACAATCCTTTTTTTTAAGTATCTGTGGATACTAGGAACTTCAAATTAGTGAAATTCCAAACATACATAAAGGGTTTAACAATTGTAAAACGTAATACTGCAGATGTTTAGTTGTTAAATTCAGAAGTCTACATTCTCTAATTATATGAATTTAAGGTGAAATACATCCCTTTTGAACAAAAGAAAGCTTACACAAGAAGGTCTCTCATGGATTTTAAATAACAATGCACCATAGACGTGTGTCACATTACATTCCTTGAGTAAATTTAGGGGAACTACAGCAACATAAAATAACAATCCTTTTTTTAAGTATCTGTGGATACTAGGAACTTCAAATTAGTGAAATTCCAAACATACATAAAGGGTTTAACAATTGTAAAACGTAATACTGCAGATGTTTAGTTGTTAAATGTATTGATTATTCTTGTTACAGAGCCCTAAACCCATAATGCTTGTGTAATGCCGCACTCTAGTGGTCATTTTGACGATAGATAGATAGATAGATAGATAGATAGATAGATAGATAGATAGATAGATAGATGGATAGATAGATAGATAGATAGATAGATAGATAGATAGATAGATAGATAGATAGATTTTATTTTATCTTATTTTTTGTTAGTTTTTGTAATTTTGTTGTCTACTTTTGTCAATTTTATTAATTACTGATTTTTTAAATATGTCTGTATAGTTTTTAAAATTAATTTTGCATTTCAGTTTTAATTATTTTAGTACATCAAAATTAAGCTAAAGTTAAAATTCAATAAAAAATTAGAAATGTTGCTCTGGCAATTAGCTAAAATAAAATAATTGTTAAATTTTTTATTGTATTTCAGTTAAAGCTTATTTTATTTCATTAAACTTTTTATGGTTTGATGTAAACGTTATGGAAATATAAATCACATAATGGAATACGAATAATGTGTATGGATTTTTCTTAATTTTTTTTTTAGTTTATGCTTTTTATGTTGACTTTAATAATATAAAACTCCAGTTTCGGTTTGGGTGCTGCTTTGTCAATGTGGAGTGTCCTGCAGTTGCTCCAACTGTCCGGTGGATGTCGCGTTAACTCCTGGAAATCCCACTTCCAACCTTTTGCTTGGAAGAGACACGCCGACACCACATTCAAAATGGCCTCTATTAGCGACTGCGCTGGACGTGGATCAAAATGTGCATAAACAACACCGAGCCGTTACTTTACTCTCCATCCTTAACGCTACAGGTTTCGGAGGCGCGATGTCATGAATGTACTGGACTGGCAGAATCGGCGGAGTACATAAGATGAGAGCTTGTTTTGCAGACAGCCCAGCCGAACCGGGGCGCCGCCGCTGCAGCAGAGCTTCATCTGCCTTTCTGAACCACCGACACCTCCAGTGAAATGGAAAGAGTGGAGGATGCTGCTGATGAGCCGGGACTCGCACCGTCCATCGACGTCAACGACAACCGGGAGGAGTACAAAGCACGCGTTTGCGGTTCAGACCCCGAAAGAGCACGGGAGGGTTCTGTTTACAGTTCGGCATATGCGAATCCGGGTGGTGCTGGTCAGCCCTCTCTCTCCCCGGTGATGATGGGGTACAGGGCCGGAGTTTTAAACGGGTTTCCCGAAAAGCTGGAGGTGGGTATGGTGTGTCCGAATGGAGAGGGGGGAACCCGGCCCGGCCCGGATCGGGTTACAGGGACTTCCGAAACCGAGTGCTGGAATAAATCCGACAGAAGCTATTTAAATTCACAACTGAGGTCTGCAGTGTCATTTATGGGTATAAACTCGCCGGATATGAAGATGCCTAATGGAGATGTTACCCATGAGCACATGAATCTTGATCAGACTCATTTAAGGTGTTTGGATTATGCAGAAGGATTCAACAGGAAGGTGCCTGCTTTAGACAAAGGTGTGAAAGTGGGTAATGGGGGGTTGTTGATTGTGAACCGTTATGACACCCTTTCTCAAGTCCCCTTTAGAGCCTTGGGTAGCCTTCCTGCTCCAGAAAGCCGTGTCTTTGTTCAACAAAGCGACAGTGTCCTCTCCACAGGGAGGTCATGTGAAAGGATCAGTCGTGCCAGTGCTGAGAGCTCAGAGGAGGCCCAGCCCTGTGACCCGGATCCCGCAGACACCCTGTCAGAACTCAGTGCCAAGCTGTCCTTTTCTCCCCTGGCAGAAAACACCAGCGATTACACCGAGACAGACCCAAGCCCAGAGGAGGACTTCAGCGACACGGGCCCTCCTCCTCTCAGGCCCCAGAACCTCCAGACTAACTCTGGTCACACAGTCTCCCTCAGCTGTGAGACCACTCCTCTGAGCCCCGGGGATGATGGGTATTTTGGAGCAGAGGGCGGCGGTGTGGATGAATATCTCGGCTCTGTTAAAGCATTCGAGGGAGGCCGGTGGCAGAGTGCTCCAGACAGGGTCGGTGCTGACCCTGATGCTTCATATGACCAGACGCTTGGCACTAAGAGACACGGCATTGCTGAGTTCCTGACCAGGTAGAGAAAGTTGTGTCCAAGTCTCTTGAGTTGCAGTGAACCTCATTTTGATTTTACAGCAGCCCCATTCAGATGTCTACAAAGAGTTACAGCTTTCTGTAGGTTATTTATATATATTAATTTTTTTTTAGAGGTCAGGATGTATGATATAATCAGGATCATTTCAGGTATTTTTTTTCAATATTGCTAACACTTTATTTTAAGGACGTAATGGGGGGTTGTTGATTGTGAACCGTTATGACACCCTTTCTCAAGTCCCCTTTAGAGCCTTGGGTAGCCTTCCTGCTCCAGAAAGCCGTGTCTTTGTTCAACAAAGCGACAGTGTCCTCTCCACAGGGAGGTCATGTGAAAGGATCAGTCGTGCCAGTGCTGAGAGCTCAGAGGAGGCCCAGCCCTGTGACCCGGATCCCGCAGACACCCTGTCAGAACTCAGTGCCAAGCTGTCCTTTTCTCCCCTGGCAGAAAACACCAGCGATTACACCGAGACAGACCCAAGCCCAGAGGAGGACTTCAGCGACACGGGCCCTCCTCCTCTCAGGCCCCAGAACCTCCGGACTAACTCTGGTCACACAGTCTCCCTCAGCTGTGAGACCACTCCTCTGAGCCCCGGGGATGATGGGTATTTTGGAGCAGAGGGCGGCGGTGTGGATGAATATCTCGGCTCTGTTAAAGCATTCGAGGGAGGCCGGCGGCAGAGTGCTCCAGACAGGGTCGCTGCTGACCCTGATGCTTCATATGACCAGACGCTTGGCACTAAGAGACACGGCATTGCTGAGTTCCTGACCAGGTAGAGAAAGTTGTGTCCAAGTCTCTTGAGTTGCAGTGAACCTCATTTTGATTTTACAGCAGCCCCATTCAGATGTCTATAAAGAGTTACAGCTTTCTGTAGGTTATTTATATATATTAAATTTTTTTTAGAGGTCAGGATGTATGATATAATCAGGATCATTTCAGGTATTTTTTTTTCAATATTGCTAACACTTTATTTTAAGGACCAATTCTCACTATTAACT